GTTCAAAAATAGCATCAAAATTATATTATTCTACATTTACTTAAAATTACATACTGTGTGTGTGTGTGTGTGTGTGTGTGTGTGTGTGTGTGTGTGGTGGAGGCCCAAAAATGTGAGCCTATTTCCACCTTGTCTGAAGGTCAAAGAGTTTCTGCTTGCTTGGCTGTTGCCATTTAACTCTGACCAAAGGTCAGGGAGTTGAAACTTCATTCTATTCCTTCAAGGCTATTGCCTGTTTCTCCCTCAAACTAAGTTCCCACCTAGATTTAGAGCAGAGAGTTTTGCTCGCTCCAGGTTATTGTCAGCAGCTGTGGCTAATAGCCAGCTCTTGTATTTCAGGTGTAGAAAAGTAGATCCGTTTCTACCTCAAGCAAAAGTCTAAGGATCCAACTAAGTTCATAGTCCCTTAGGAAGACAGCAGTGGATTCCACCCAGAGAATGGTTTGCCTAGAGAATGCTTTGGTCTAGGGTGTGAGTGTTACTTGTCTTCTTCTAGCAACAGAATGCTTAACTAAGAATGTAGCCTGCAACCTACCAGTGGTCTGTTCATTTCCTTGTATCATGTTAATAAGGTTTTTTTTTTTTTAATCTTACTCCTGTCTTTTGGGGTTGGGGTATTTTAAGCAAATGGAAATTAATTACGGTGATTCAGTATTCACTGTACTCACTCCTGGTACAATCCTATGTTTTCTGTTTTATCATTTTCACTTGTGTCTTCGTTCTCTTTATTACTTTTCTAATCCCCATGTCCCTACCCTCGTAAGTGGTATATTTGTTAAAGCTGGTCTCCAACAGTGTGTGTGTACGTGTGTGTGTGCATTTTATATGAAGTCATGTCACCTCCACCCTGGTGCTTTCCCTAAAAGACATAAACTACCTAACAAAAAGTCCCAGTGCCAGGGCCGGAGAGAGATGGCTCAGCGGTTAAGAGCACTGCTGCTCTTTCAGAGGAGTAACGGTCGGATCTCAGCACCCATCAGCTCACAATGGTCTGTAACCTCAGTTCTAGGGATATTGCCCCCAGAGGCACCACAAGCAGACAGTACATTTACATACATACAGGCCAAACACTTAACACATAAAAATAAACAATTCTAAAGAAAAAAATTGCTAGGCTTGGGAAACCTACTTTTAAGTTTTTGATATGTGAAGTAAAAGAAACTCCCAAACAATTCAGACTCCTGGCATTGCCTTTGGTTCCTTCCCAAAATCATAGTTAATATCGCATTGCTAAATACAGTGCATACTTAGACACTTATGACAAAGGATTGGAAGAATTGAGTTGGATCGGACCTAGAAATGTCGTCCCTAGGGACTTGCTCTCACCATAATGGAAGGAGGTAGAAGAGCTGCCAACGAAGAACAGCAACCAATAGTGCTGCCGAGCTGTAATGCTTACAAACCACAATGACCAGAACAACGAAATGTCCCGAAAGGTACAACCATGACATTTGTATCCTAGGGAAACCAATGGACTATCTAAGTGCAGTGTATGGCCATACAAAAGGTGGACTTCATGTCTGCTAGTGTAAACCTATTCCACCGCCAATGGCTGATAAGATGCCACACACAGACCCTAAATGAGAACCTGCTCTTGCCCCTTTCCTAAAACAATAAAATTTCTTACTCCATTCTAAATACCCAACCTTCTGCCCACAGAGACGTGCAGTCGCCATGTCTTATCAAAGAAGTTTGTTTCAGTAGCAGATGGACACTGTTACAGGCATCCACAACTGATCAAAATGCAGGGAACAACTGACCATGGGGTGATCAACCATCACTGATAATGTTCAAAATAACTTCTATACCTAGGGTCCAGAGATGATGATGAGAGAGGGGACAGAGAGATTGTAAGACCCGTAGGACCCGGACATCTTCTGTAATATAGTGTCTCCTATATATTATACAGAAGCTGCACCCAAAATATGATCCATATGATGAGCCAAACCAGACTAGCACAGTACCAGCACTGGTGGCCATACCAGTTTGGATGGGGAAATATCACAAGGCCCCATTCCTAAAGGAAAAGGTACAGGAAGTTAATGATTGCTGAGAGAAAGAGAATCAGTCTTCTCCAGGGACAAGATGCTCCCTAATTGATTATCCAATCCCAAGAGATCAGTCCTAAACACATAGACATAGGAGCAATAGTCAAGGAACTCAGCAGGTTGTAGTTAAGAATTTGTGTGTATATAAAATCATAATAATTAAGATTGGAGGCATGAATTTAAGAGGGGTTGGAGGAATTGGAAGGAGGAGAGTGAATGTGGGGTGGAATAATATAGTACTCATATGGGAAATTCTAAAAATAAATTAAAAATAAAATTTTCTCCAACAAATAAATTAATCCATTATTTTTTAAATTCAGTCTTACATGAGTACTCAGGACTGGGGAAGCCAGATTCTTTGCCAGATATAGTCTGAATAGCATCTAGTCCAAGTGTTTCCTAGAATTCCCATTCCCCTTTATACCCTTATGAACTGGGCCTTCACCTTGTGTTCCAAGCTCTCCCCAGAATGGCTTATTGCATTCTGCTTACAGTTCCAAACCCTTGCATCTTCCTAGGCAAACCAATTCCCAAGGTCTGAGATCAGGTTGATAGCAACAACAACCTCATGTTTGCCACCAATTTTCTGTTAATTACTTGTTCCATTGCCATCATAAAATGCCAGACTCCACAACACAGAAGAAAGGGTTTATTTTGGTTCACAGTTTGAGGGTACAGATTATTATGAACAGAATTTGGTGGATGGGGAGTTCAAGGCATTTGATCGAGTGAATTGCATTCACTTGAGGGTAAGAGCACATGGAATGCCTCACCCACAGTCAAGAGTGGATCTTCCTTTAGTAACTGAATCTAGACCATATCTCATAGGTGTCCAAGGGATTGTCTCCTATGGAATTCTGAAAACTGTCAAATTAGCAATCAATACTAACCATCACAAGAGGCTTTTTAAATAAAGTTATGAAATACATTATCAATCAGACAAAGGTGAAAATAAAGCTTCAAAGGAGGGAAAGTAATATTTTGCTAAGGAGACTGTAAGGATTTTCTGGAAGGTTCAGTGTCACCTGTGACTCAGATGATTCATAGGCACGCAAGAGGTAGAAAAGAGAAGAAAACTCTTAGATGCAAGCAGACTTGTCAGACTGGGGTGACGATGGTGTGAAGAATCAGTAGGTAGGGAGGGGATAGTTTTCCTGTTCACACCATATAGGCTTCAAGAATAGCGGTAAGAAATGCTGAGTGGTGGGTTTCAGGGTAAAGACAGAATGTGAGGGAAGATGGAGCGCCTGGGATGCAATTAGCAAATGAAGAGACAGCGCACAGAGCAATACAGAGAAACCTGGAAGAAGCCTAAGGAGAACCAAATACTCACTTCACCTATGTCATACTTTGGCTAAGGGAAGGGTCTAATCAAATCTATTTGGATGTGAGTTCTGTGTCTCCACTTGCCAACACAGAGAGCCAAAGACAAGTGAGGCTCTTCTCAATGATGTGTATTTTCCCCCAAGGAATACTCTCGGAAGAGCAGTCTGAGAAACATTTGCTCATTAGATATGTTTTGGCAGCAGCCAGACTTATCAAGCACACGATAAGCACATAATAAACTTGGTTCTTGAAACATTAGTGCTTTGATTGTTTTGTTATTAACTCTTGTTGTTAGTGCCTATTGCTTTCTCTAGAAAATAGTGCTATAACGATGCGTAAGTTATATCAGTCATTATAAACTTCATGTACAAAGTATTCACGCAGAAAATGTCAACTTCTTAATTAAATTTATGACTCTAAGTGGGTCAGGTTTTTGTCAAATCACATACTCTTGTAATTTTTTTTTTTGTATAAAGAAAGTAAGTGCTCTCCAGTGTCTTGCTTGATTTAAGAACATCCTTATTCTTGTAAGCTATATGGCACCCTTCTGAAATCTATTCCTGAAACATTCCACATGTAACCACATTGCCTCTGGAAGAGATGCCTTCCTACTACATCAGAAGGGTCCATAGAATTGGTGGAAAAACAAACAATTGTAGTCTGTTAGAAGCCGTTGATACATCTACCCTTAACCGGTCTCGCAAGAGGGAATGCTGCTCTCGCCAGATGAAATCCCATCCTTTCTAGGTGGAGGAGTAGGCCATTTAGAGTAGTGTCCTGTGCGTAGAGAGCATGCTTATATTAAATTCATCAGTTGTTGGCTAACCAGGCAGGCCATAAAGTCACCCTGACCTTGGCTGTCTTAACAACAGATGGGTTCACTTACAACACAGTCCATCATACGAATTCAGCAGCCTGGTTACCCTCTGGTTCCAAATGTGCCCTGGGATCACCAAATTTCATAGGTATTGATATAGCTAGGGGTAGAGTCAAAGGACCCTGGACATTGAGGGGTCACGGCAGTGTGTTAGGACCTTCCTTACTGCAACAATCAACAAGACACATGTCTGCTATTTTCACACTTAGCACAAGCTGCCAAACTCAAACCAGTTAAGTCAACAAGAGCTTGAGATTGGGATTCAAAAACCTAAGAAGGGGTTATCACAGGAGAGGTTGAGTAAGTAGGGCCAGGGCCAGAGCAGCTGCCTTAATACAGCAATACAGAAAACAAACTCGCTGGCTCTCTTTCCGGTGATTGTGCTCGATGCAAATGATGGGCTTTAATATACAAAGATCATGATTGTGGCAGCTTTAATATACAAAATAGCCTTGGAGGACTCTAAATGGGGAGCGATATTAAGTGCAACCCGTATCTAATTTTCTCATTTTATTAATTTGAATTGATGAACCCTTTTAATGCAATTTAAGCATCGTGTGTGTGTGTGTGTGTGTGTGTGTGTGTGTGTGTGTGTGTGTGTGTTGTAAGGTAGGAAGGAGGGCCCTTTGCTGCTTTGTTGTTTTGTTCCTGTGGACTGACGTGGCCTTTAGAGAGTGGCTTTTGTGTGCAGCCAAGAGACCTGGTTTCAAATGCCAGCCGGAGCATCTTCAGGCTCATTAATAATGGAGGCGTCTGACAGGGCCAGCTTCGCTTGCTTTGTTTCCGCCGCAGAGGAAAGGGGACATGGACCTTTCTGTTTTGCCCAATAACAACCATCCTGACAAATTCCTGCAGCTTGACGTGAAGTCTTTAATGAGGAACTCGACCCTTCTGCAGGCTAGCCTCGCGAGATTTCCCGGTGGAAATTTTCCTGCAACACAACACTGGCAAAACCTTGTCTACTCCCAGGTAAGCTCTAAGGACATAGGAATACAGGTTTGGAGCTTGTTTCTTTCTCACTATATGAAATTTTCTCATTCGTGTGAAGGAGGCTTGGGGTGGGGGGATACATAGAAGCTGCTTTTCCTCCTCACCCCTTCCTGTAAGCTCTGCGTTAAAGATGTGCAAATTCTCCCACGGGTTCATTCCCCTCCGGTCCCCGCTTCTCTGCTTGTCTTCGTTTCTGATTTGCGTCGGTCTCATTTACTCCTTCCCTCCAGAACATTTCAGACTAACTGCTTTCAAATAAGATTCGGGGGAAGAAATGCTAAATTCTGTCTGTCGCTGTGATCTATGCGTAAAATATCAAATGCTTGCCGCACAAGGCTGTACCTGCCTCAGAGAAAGCCTGGCCACACTCCATCTTGGAAAGGAAGTGGCTCTCGGCTTAGATGCGCTTCTTCCACAGGTGTCCGCATGGAGCAGCCATAGGAACAAGCCACGCTAATGCAGATCTCGTGGCTCTTGTTCTTTCACAAAAGAATGCAGCTGATGGGCTCTGTCTGCTGAGATCAACACAAAGGCCCCTGCTGAGGCTAATCAAACAGGGCTAATCTTGTTTTAAGACGGAGAAACTAATGGCGTTGGGGGTTACAACAGGTAGAAAGAGACAAGGGTATTTAGTTTCAGAAACGATGCATCTGACCTCCAAGCCCCTGTAAGTCCTTAAATCCTTTGGAGAGTTCAAATTCCCTGTACAGAAAGGTGTTTGCTTTTAAAAACAGTCGCTTCTCGTGAGTCCTGGTGTACAAGGACTACTTGGTGATGTGTGTGTGGGCAGGAGTATATGTCATGAGTTCATTCAGAGTCGGATGATTACGTAAATTGCCTCTACTTTATAAAGGGTTCCATTTATTTCCATTATAAATCTTATTTCCATTATAAGTCAATCTGTTATAACGACTGAATGTTGTTGTTTATTTTGAATTGTTGCATACAACTTTTGTAATCCCTAAAGCCTGTGGCTTTCTATACACACCCATTTATCACTGTTTTGTGTTTTGCTTGATTAAATGAAATGAATTTCCTTCTTTATTTCATTTTTTACGTCACAGAACAAAAGGATTAAAATTATTTCAGAAAATCTTGCCCCTCCTCCTCCACCCCCCTCTCTACGTAGTAGATTGTGAGAACACATAGCCAATAGGTTTTTTTTCTGGGTTGTGACGCAGCAGTCTTGCAGCATCTTTTGTTTGGTGCTCTGGTTGCTCTCCTGCCTCCATTTTGGAAATTCACAACTAAAGCTCAAAACCTGAGGAAATGCAAATTTTTTTATACAGGTCTTTTTGACCTAAATAATTATCCCAAGAACAAAGAGGTATGCTTCTGCAGATGTATCTTTGATAAACCTCATATAAATTAGGTTTTTTTTTTTTTTTTTTTAACCCTGGAAGAAAAAAGACAAGTAACTTAGGGAAGGCTAATTTACTACCGAAGTAATGGATAATGGGAAGGAATGGTAGACAAGTGTATTCTGGAAATGAGGTAGGTGTGCTTCAAACAGTGAGCACCTGTCTTCATAGTCACCAGTAAACTGCTCAAGTGGATCTAAAAATCAAGACTGACATACGTATGGAGTAAAAAGCAGATAAATATGAAGAAATGGGAGCATGACATTTTCAAATATTCAGAAAGATACTTAAAAATCTTCAAAAATATACCAAGAATATTGGATGTGGTGTTAAGCATGTCTGAAGAGGGTGCTGTCAAATATTTCTTCCACAGAAAGAAATTTTGGTATTCAGTATAATCCCCTGAAAAATTAGTACAACCCTCATTTTAATTTCTTAAGAAGTGAGAACAGAAGCTGGGTGGTGGCAGTGCGTGCTTTTGATCCCAGCTCTTGGGAGGCAGAGGTAGGCGGATCTTTATGAGTTCGAGGCCAGACTGGTCTACAAGAGCTGGTTCCAGGACAGCTTAGGGCTGTTTTACATGGAGAAACCCTGTCTCCAAAGACAAAACAAAACAAAACAAAACCAAACAAAACAAAACAAAAAAAAAAACAAGAACAAATGATGCATAAGGAAAAGTCAGTGGAGTCTGGTTCCTGTAACAGTTTAAGAAGTGGAAACAGAAACACCTGGCTGTAATTCAGTGGATAGACAGAGTACCTGCCTGACATGACGGGAGCCCTGGTTCTTATCCTGAGCACAACAGAAAACATGTACAATGTGCACCTAGAATCTCAGAACTCAGTCGGCAGAATCAAGAGCATCAGGAATGTAGGGTTCGGTTATAAAGAGTTGGAGGCCAACCTGGGCTACCTGCAATTTTGTCTCCATTTTGGTTTTTTGTTGTTGTTATGCTTGCCTTTTTTTTTATTAAAAAAAGGGGAAAATATTAGTAAATTTTGAAAAATAACAGATGATATTGTTACTTACAATGTTGTTTGGTTTGGTGTTAAGGCAGGATTTCATGTAGTCTAGGATGGCCTCCAGTGCAGTCTATGGTCAAAGGTGGGTGGCCTTAAACCTGTGATGAATCCTCCTTCTTCATGCCCTGAGGGTTGAAATTGCAGGTATGTGCTACAATACCTGGTTATTGAAGTTCTGCGTATCAAACCCAAGGTTTGTGCATGCTAGGCAAACATTCTACCAATGTGCGAGCAAGCGCCCGCACGTGAGCGCGTGCATGCACACACACACACACACACACACACGCGCGCACACCTTTTTAAATTAAGTGATAAAATGTTTAAAGTCTTCATATCGGGAACTGGTTTTTCTGGTGAGCAGCTGAACTTCTTTCTTGGTCTGTTCACGTGAGCTTTGCCTATTCCTGACTCCTTTTACGTTGGTTTCAGAGCCCTGGGGCTTCTCAGAGGAGATCTGTGAGCTGGACTGAAAAGCCAGTGGTGAGAACTGAGCCTCCTTATTTCTAGACAAGCTCGTTCACTGGTTTCATGTCTTCATCTGCATTCTTCACTGTTTTTCTGTCCCACACCACTGCTTTTTGCTAAATAACAACATTCCATGTGTGCCTTTCTTTGTGTTCATTTATGTTCATGCATGAGTATATCTGTTCGTATGTATGTGGGTGCTTATTCTATGTATGTGCATTTGTGTGTATGTGTATGCTTGCATGTATGTAGGTGTATGTCCATGTGTTTATGAGTTTATGTGTGTATATCTGTGCCTGTATATAAATGCGTATGTGTGTGTATGTTTGTATATGTATTCTGTGTATGTGTGTAAAGTGTGTGTGCGTGCATTGGTGCTTCAGCCTATCACTTTGTAACACTACATTTTATGCTTGCTGTGTCACCATTTAACATATTTCCATGGTTTTTATTTAAAACGTGGTCTAAATGATTACAGAATTTGTATTTGGGATATGTTTTGATGGTTTTTGATTATTAACTCAGTTGTATGTATACTTTCTATCAATGTTTTGAAAATATTCAGAAAATAGAGTGTTTCTAACTGTGGATGTCAGTTGATTGGATTTGTTAATTTTGTTGTACAAATTGTCTTATCTTTTGGAACCTTTTGTATGAATATATGTAATTCTAATGATTACTTTAAATTTTATTACATTAATTTTGTAGCACATATAAATTTTGTAGTTATTATTATACTTTGCTGATGATGTTACTTTTATTCAAAATCTTTGCAGCTATCAAAGCTTCTTGCCTTACATCTATTTTGTTTGATATATTATATTGTAATTATATATATATTATTTTTTGTAGTGGTTAGCTATGTTGTGTCATAGAAACAAACATACTCAAATCTAGTAATGCAATAAGGAATTAACACATCTGTACCCTTGAGATGTTGATGCTATGCACATCCTGAGAAGGTTACCTTAAAGGAAAATTCACATTCTTTTTCTGGAGGTTCTTTCTACAATATCAGAATCTGCATTATGCCTGCAGACCAAGAAGACAGAAAGGAAGACACATATTCTCTTGGGGAGGTTAGTAGCCAAGATTGAGTATCAACCCAATTGTTTTGTGTTGTTGAAGAGGAATTGGATTTGTTGTGTGTTTAGCCAGGCACTTCTTCATTTTCATCTTTTAAAATAGATACTGTGTTTAAGTTACATACATCAAATATATAATATATAATCTAGTGTATGTGTGTATATATACATACAGATATACTTGCACACCCCACACAAATGACAGCCGAGATCGTCTATCAGACTGAAGAGTCTGTCTCATCACCACACTTCGGAGCAGGTTCTACAAACCATCCTAATCCTACGAACTCCCCTTTAAAGAGACCGGATTATTATCCTACACGAATTTCTTCCTTTCTGAGCAGGGGAGAAGTCGTATTCCAAACTCCTGTAATCTCTCCGGGAGTGCTTGTGCAGACTCCTTCCCTGGAGGTGTGGCAGGAACACTCCATCTCTCTGGGAGGACCCTGCACGGCCTCATGCTCCAGGATCTCGGGAAGGTCTCGGGGCTTACTTCCACTCTTATCCATAGGAACGTAGAGACATGTGCTTATTGTTGTTTTCCCAATCTTGGATCTGTTGCTTTGGTAGTTATTCTCGGTTTTTATATCTAAATGTCTGGAAATGTAGATGGTAGTTAGTGTTGGCCCAGAATACCCACGTGATTTGATTTGATTTTAAAGATTCTAGTTCTCATCTTGTAATGTCTTCAGTTTATTTCCTATGCAATTTATTGAGCAATTTGTTCATATAATTCTCTTTGTTTAGCCTCAGACAGTTCTTCCTGACATAAAATGCCCCTACAGGTCCTTTAAAGCATGGGGCTCAAACTGGCCTTTGGAGCTTGCTTTCCTCTTTACACTTCTCCAATTTCCAGCTCACTGGCCGCCAACCCTGAGGCGTATAAAACTAGGCCTTCAACATAATCTTTGTCTTCAGTTACTTCATACAGCTGAGACATGTTCCTCATCTTTCTATTTTTTTCCTTTTTTGGTAAGTAGTTTTACATCTCAATAATTGGGGTCTGCAGTCATTAATACTGGGAAGTGCCACACCTTAGGACCCTCCTTGCACACTTTTAACCATCTTCTTGAATTCCCTGACTCCACTCATAAACAAATGTTCTGACAAGGATATATGACTGTAAATTTTCAGACTTGCCCCCAAGTTAGTGATGATTATCTCTCAAATTACCAGAGTAACATTTATATCAAATGATTTCCACTGCCGAGTAACTGTCTTCAGGCTTTCATTATTGGAGGGCTGGGGATATGGCTTGGATAGTGAAGTGTCCTCTATGCAAACTTGATGCTCTGGATTCAGCTCTCTAGCATTCATATGAAAAGCTGGGCTTAGGGGCATGTTCCCATAACTCCAGTGCTTGGAAGAGGTGGTGTTGGGACTGATGGATCCCTGGAGCTTACAAGCAGCCAGTTCAGTTAAATCAGTGAGTTCCAAGCTCACTAAAGGACCTTGTCTTCTTGTCTCAGGGATGGAGAGATGACTCAGAGGTTAAGAGCACTGATTGCTCTTCCAGAGGTCCTGAGTTCAATTCCCAGCAACCACATGGTAGCTCATCTGCAATGAGATCTGGTGCCCTCTTCTTGTGTGCAGCATACATGCAGGCAGAACACTGTATACCTTATAAATAATACGTCTTCTTTAAAAAAAAAAAAACTTGTCTCAAAAAATATGGAGCAGGGTGGTTCAGGAAGATACCCAATGTCAAAATGTCAACCTCTGGTGTCCACTCATTCACACATGTGAACTTGCATGTATACTCACAAGTACATGTACACCAAGAAACATGTACATACTCTTCACACATACGAAACAAGTAAGAATAAGGCATCCAGTATTTCTTCCCGGCTCTGTGGTGCTGCAGCAGTGGGTACAACTGCCCTCTTCCAGCAGCTCTTCAGCACTGGAGAGGGAGGTAACTGCTCACCACTGTGACAAGTGGCGAAATGACAGTCTTTGCCAATCATGAGAAGTCCTAGGAACAGCAGATCAACTAGCGTAGGGGGTGCTTCTCTTTTCCAAGCAGTGGCCATGGTTTCCAATTGTTTGTTGAAGGTTCTACTATCTCAGGCATCTCAGATCCTGGTCTAGAGTGTCAAACAAACAAACAAAGAAAGAATGACAGAAATATGAAAGAGTTCAGGAACAGCTTGGATCTGATCTCAAATCATTTCTGCTACACTTTCTTGGTTTTAAAAATCCTGACTCCAAACTAATTTCAGAGCAGATGAAAGAAGCTGGACCCCGTGTGTGCTCAACCAAGGAAAGCCACCTGGTTGTACCCAGTCAGTCACCATACCTGGGTCTCTGTGTGCATAGCCACCTCCGGGATCTGATGCTCTTTAATCTTTCCTTCTTCCTGAGTTCTTAAAGTTGAGGTGTTATATACTGAATAGTCAAATTTGCCTTTTAATGTCTGATCTGCCTGTCTCACTCTCTGAAGTAGAAAATTAAGCCTACTTCTGTTTAATATGCTTATTCTGACCTATTCTGTGTGTCCTTGAGATGACCTCCATTTTATACCCTCATCCTCTTAGAGCTTGCTCAACTTGTCTTTATCATTTCTTACCGCCCTGGTAATTTGGAGATAAATAAATTTCTCTAATTTTAACAACATCTCTACCCTTTCCCTGCAATTAGTTCTTAGCTGCTTGATTAATAACACCAGTGCCAAACATTTTCCCTTCTAGTTCTTTAGTTTACTTTAAACTCGAATTATCTTATTTCCGTCTCATCAATTTCTGTTTATTTTCCGACATCGCTTTGTCTCAGTCTCCCTGCCCCCAGTTTTACTCCCTCTTGCTGTATGATTTTAGAGGTTCTTATTCTAAAGAACTGCTGCTAACTTTGAGCTTTTGTTTGCCTGTATATGTCTTCCAGCTCCTTTTTTATTAAGTGGTATTTTACTTGCACGTTATTCGGATTAAAATAAGTAAACAAAGTTTGGCTTCATAGCGAAAGTCTAGTTAAACTTTGAACTGTTACTTCAAGTGAGTAGTTCAAATGGAATTTATTTTATAGTTCATTTTGTTAAAATCACAGAAATGTTAATGAATTTTCATCTCAGTATTTCGCCTAAGGTGCAACATGCGAAGTTGAACTTTGTATATACTCCTTATTTTCTTAAATCTATTTGGAAAAAAATAGTAAAATACAAATGAACCACAACTTTTATATATATATATATATGTAAACTGCTGTTTGAACCTGGAGATTCACTCTTGCTAGGTAAGCATTGCTAGGTATCCAGCCCCAGAATTAGTAAAAGGCAGGACCCAAGATCTCCAGTAATCTAAACATGTGCTCAGTGCCTGAATCATGTTCCCAGAAATCCCATCAATTTCTTTTTGTGTTATCTAATTAATTTGTAAATTATAAAATATAACTTACTTTTTCACATTAGTAATAAAGCATAATAAGAAACTTCCCTTGGTGTGTCCTTCAAAGTTAGGAATGCTGTGCAGATCAGAGACAAAGAGCATATTTCAGGCCTAGAAACAAGACTTAAAATCTGCTTTAGAATAAACTCTGACTGTTTTTGATACCTTCACATATTCATTCCTCTAAGCCTATATACATTTTTATAGTGTATATAGACTTTCTTGTGCCACTTATTTTATTTCTCTCATTTATCAAATCTTCCTAACTACATGCAATGAGCAGTCTAGCAGGAAAAGAACATAACAAAGAAAGTTCCTGTATGTCAGAAGAGTTATCCTGCTTCAGATATGATCAAAGCTGACCAGGCTTGAAGAAAACAATAGAGTTATAATTGTGTTAAGCTCCAATAACTTTAATTTCCTGTCAGATTCCTCTTATTTAGTTTAGAACCACACTTACACATCTACTCACCTTTGAGATAAATGCTAAGATAAGAAGGTTTATTATTTTATTCTACAGCTTAAGATTATGGACTATAGATGGACTTCTGACAGGCCAAACCCAAATTAAAGTAAAAAAGTGTCTCCAAGTTGATTTCTAAGAATATGAAAGATGCCTTTATTAAGAACATCAAGGAAGGGGCTGGAGAGATGACTCGGCAGTTAAACTCACTTTCTGCTCTTCCAGTGCACCCAGGTTGGATTCCCAGCATCCACCATGTCAGACTCACATGTGATACACATACATACACGCAGACACTCACTAATATACATAAAATAAAAGCAAAATAAATAAATTTTTTTACTAAAAATCATGAAAAGCCAATGCCCAAGAGAATACAAATAGTTTTATCTAGATTATTTTTCTCCTTACTTACAAGTTATTTCAGAAGGACACATCACGCAATGCCAGTCTATAATTTTAGTTTATATAAATACGTATTAAATCTATGTCCTAAAAGATCCTGAGGCCATTGATATATGGCTAGTGGTTCTCATACAGGTGACTCAAAAGGATGTGATTCCTATTGGTGTATCTCCAACATTCTTATGTCCAGTCACCAATATCACAAACACACACACACACACACACACACACACACACACACACACACACACACGTTTGTGGGGAAAGCACATGCATTTATCATGTGTGTCCTTTTCTATGTTTCAATATCAAGTTTTTTAAATTTCTGAAAGTGAAGAATTAATTACTCTAGTGGACAGTTGGCCAATAGGCACTTTGGGGGTGAATGATGTTAAATTGACTCTGAGTGTTCCTGGAGCCAGGGAGATGTGAGCAAATCTTTCCACCTCAGAGAGAGTACTTATAACAGACGGAAGAAATGATTCCACCCAAGTCTAGCTTAGTGGAACAATTAGTCTAGTACAATAACTTAGAGGCACATGGGTGACCCAAAGGCAACTGTAGCTCTGAAACGGCCAATCCAGCGTGGGCGATGATGTCTCAAAACCTGCATGCCCAAGTACCCTACTTGTGCCAGAGTACAGGAGCTACACCAAAAAGTCTCCTATGCCCTAGCAGCTGTTTCTTGCTGGTATAGCCTTGGGAAGGCACCTTGTGAATCTTGTGATCCTTAGACCTTTCTGGGAATTTAAGGCTCTTGAGTTTCCTGAGCCTGGTAAAGTGTGTGATCAGCTCCCCAGGTTTAATGAATCTCCCCTTCTTGCCTAACATGGAGTGTTTCAGCTTGGGAGAAGAAACTATGTAGAACTCCTCCTCAAACGTCTCTGAAATAGGATCCAAAGGCATGTTTATAAAAAGCCAAGACATTTAGAAATTATTTAAAAGGGTTTTTTAACTTTATTTGTTTATTTATTTGTGTGTGTGCTTGTATGCATATATGTTCATACATGTGTGATCACACACTTGCATGTGCCTGCCAGGACATGTGAGTGTGGAGGTCAGAGAAGAGAAAGTAACAGTTTCAGGATTCTATTCTCTTCTTGGACTGCTAGGGTTTGGGAGTCATTTTTAGGCTGGCAGATTAATAGCAAGCACCAATACCTGCTGAGCCATCTTGTGGTCCCAGAAAACACTTTTAATCCTAATTTTGCTGGATTCATACAACAATATTAAATCCTCTGTGTAGGAACCTTGGGACACACTAAAAAGCATAAAATGCCACTAAACTCTAATGCACATGAGCTGGAAAACAGCATTTCTTCAGAATTCCACTAGATGAATTGGAGAACACTATTCTTTCTTTGTAGCTAGAGAATGCCATTGAAATGGATATTAAACTGAACAGGACAACATATAAAGAAAGTTAATGGTAGGATTCTAATTAAAGCAGACCTTAGAGTCATTTTATAGGTCATTGTTCAATTTGTTGAATTTGAAACAGAATCAATAAATCTTCAGATCCAGATTTCTGCCATTTTGGCTTCTCTGCCACGAGCAAGCCCATCTTATTTTCTGATCTCCTAACAGAGAGAAAAGAGCATCTCTTCTCAACGTGCTAAGGGATTTGGTGGAGAGAGCCCAGTCCTTCCTGAGAGTCCTCCACCGTCCATGTCTTCAGTCGTGAAGAATAACCCATTATATGGTGACATCAGCATGGAAGAAGCTATGGAGGAAAGAAAGAAGAATCCTTCATGGACCATTGAGGAATATGACAAGCATTCTGCGCACACAAATCTCTCCGGACATCTGAAGGTGCGTTTACTAAGAATTATCCTCAGCTGCTCAACCAGATCAGCCTGAGAAGCTGCCGCAGCCGTGGCAGAAGTTCCCCACTAAACACAAAGACCCCAGGTCCTTTTGGTCCCTGAAATTATTTCTCTTTCCCAGCCAATTTGTGGGGTTATCTGTTTGTTTTGTATTTTGCACAGCCAATGGCACCTGTGTAGTGTAGAGAGGAGAAACAACAAGTAGCAATGACAAAAGGTCTCCTGGGAAGATGCAAATTGGTTTTCAAATTAATTTGTAAGGTCATACATGTTTCCCCTCATTTGTAATCTTGTAGCTGTTTATGTTCATGGCCACTTAGGAATGAATTTCTTTCTCTGCATTTTTCAAAACTATCCATGAAGTGATCAGACTTAGGTGCTGCACAAGGAAGCCCTTCCCAGCAGGCATTAGGTTAGCATTCCAAGCCCATGAAATGATTTAAGAGTGAAGGCTTACGTCTTGGTCGTTTTTCTTGTGTCTCAAAACAAAACATTTCCACAAGGAAAAATACGCATCGAACTCACACACCCAGCCTAGGATTGTCTTCCCCCACCTTTTCCTCCTTCTTCTGATATCACCTACACAGACAAGACCCAAATGCCTGAAAGCCAACATGGACCATCTGGTGGCTGAAGGGACTGGATTCCTGACCAGCCTCTGCTTGCTTCGACCTGCCTTAGGCAAGAAAGGCCTGCCATTGCCAAGTACCCTTCATTTAAAAATGTGTGTCTGGTGCAAGCGCATACCTTAACCACCTGCAGTGAACCACATTTCTTTTTCAAGGGGGCGGTACCGTAGACTTTTATGTTCTGCACTCATGTTTTAAAACCTCGACTGTGCGTTCCTTGAAATACATAATGGTCCAGAATCACTGACAGCTCTTAATCTCCTAGCTTGAGGGGTAACCTCCTTTAGCTTCTCCCCAAGAAGTTCCCAAAACACACATTCCCATGACAACAACAATGCATTTCTCTTCCTCTTTTTCGTTTTGGTTTAACCTCATGTTTTTATCAACGACTTCATATCATTAAGTCTAATACTGGGGAATGTGCATTGATTTATGTCACACACAGACACTGTCGGGCACAAGCTAAGGCCTGTTCTTTCGCCTTTACTATGTGCAAATGTGACAAGGGGGCGCTGGGTGAGCGTCCCTGCTCACACACAAATCCATCGAACCTAGTAAATAGAAATAGTTCACCTGATTCAAAGACTGCCAATTAAAAAAAAAATAATTTTTTTCTCAAAAGTTTTATTTATCTTTAATTTAGATATCACACTAAGGAAATTGAAGATCATAGGCAAGTAGGAGAAATTTTTTCTAAGTGGGTGACTTAAACCCACCTACACGTTTCTATAGTAGAATTGCAATTGCCAAATCCATCCCAACTCCTTATGTGTACATGTCCCTCCTAGCATTACAGCCCCAAGTCTGAAACTAGTTCCAGAGACCCTATAGGCTGCCAGCTACCAGATATTGGTTTTGTGACATCACTAGCTGGCATGTGTCCACTCAAACTATTGAGGGTGATAGCTTGCTTCAAATCCTTCAAAATATCCAGGCAAGAAACTCCGAGGCCTGCAGTTGCTATGTGCAAGTGGTGACCCGGCTCTCTTTGTAAACTTAATATATGAGACACGGGATTGATTGTACTAAACTAGTTAGCGATTACAGGAAAATGTTTGTTGTTGTTGTTTGTTTTCAAAAAGTATACGGACTAGTTGAGTACTTGTTAAGTATAGGTGACTTGTCGAGTACTTGAGAGTAGGATTCTTAAATAGAATTCTCTGGCACTCCACAGAAGATGGAGCCAATGAGACAGAGACACCCTATGAATTGGAACCAGCATGAGCAAAGATGCACCGTGTCCCATGAGTTTCTCTGTGGAAGATGTTCTGTAGCTGTGCCATGGAAGTAGCTCTTAAGACCTAGGCTTATTCTTCCTTCAAGAAAGTCAGTTGGGATTTCCCAAAACTTACCAGATTCTTATCTTTGCCACAACAATGAGATAAAAACCTCCAAGGTCCATCTAAAGCTAGGAAGTTTAATAGTATTTCAACTCACTTAACTGATTTATAGGCATTATTCATAAGACATTAGAAACACAATTGGCTAAAAGATGACTACGGTGTTTCTGACTTGGAAGGGTCAGCAATTTAACACAGGCGTTGTGCAGGCCACCTAATAAGTTCTTATACAGACAGACAAATTTCCTGCAGGTGCCCACGGTCAGTCAGGTTATGGTAGTGTATGTAGCTGAGATGTTTAGAGTTGTTGAGTTTACTGTTGGAGCCTTGACACTTAACACCTTACCCCAAACAACATGAACACAGACACTCGGGGCCCCTGGCAGCATCTTGTTCCCAAGTATCCACTGTAATGCTGATTGGTCACTGATTCGTTATATTTTCTGTGTTATTTTTTTTAGGAAAACCCCAATGACCTGCGCTTTTGGTTGGGGGATACTTACACGCCAGGCTTTGACACTTTGCTGAAAAAGAAGAAGAAACGTAACAAGCGATCGAAATTATGTCACATGGGCATGATCGTGCTCCTTGTGGCCTCCATCTTGGTGACCATAGTGACCCTCAGCACTTTATTGACCTAAGGAAATTGTGAATCCTTCTTTAAAGCTCTAAAATGCCTTTTCGACCTTTGCAGGAAAATCTGTCTGTGCATTGTGAACGTGTGCGTCTGTGTCGCTAGCTGTGTGACTAAACACCCCGCTGTCCTTTAGAATGTGAGCATTGCTTGTGTTTTGCTGGCCTCCCTGCTTCGTTCTGTGAAGCCTGTGTGTGAGTCCAGTCTGGGTTTTCTCCTTTGTGAAGCTGATATTCCAGAGGATCACAGTAGCAAACGTCATTACTTGCACCCACAGTCAGTCTTAAGATAGAGAACAGAGCAGCATCGAGCATTGGGAGTCCCTTGTCTCAGTGCTCAACACGTTCCTCTGGGCTGCACAGCGCCACGCCCTCCTCCTCTAGGCGCCAGGAAGCTCCAGCCAACCTGGCCAACTGCTAGGGGAACAGGAAGGCTTTGGCTGAGCCGTCAGTCAGTTTAGACCAGCTTTACCTTCCTTTGTCTCCATTTAAGTTAGAGGGAGATGTTGCTCAATCCTATTCTCATTTCACCAGTGATCCCTTATAATGACCCAGATTTATACTGCTGCTTTAGCAGAAATAAACTTGGTCCACCGTTGGGGTATGTGCTTATGGATTGACCTCAGTGGGTCCATGTTCATCAGACATAGTGGGCAAGGCACTGGTGACACTCCATGAACGCTGCCACCCTGAGGATTCATTTGAATGACAATGAGACTCGAATAGATTATCAGAGGAGGGAGCTGGCTTAAGGACTCCATAGGACGAGGAAGTAGCTTTTCCCACAGTGTTATTTCCAGTTGTCTGCTGGGTGTGGATACCTGGGAACAAACCCGCCACCTCCTCCTCCCAGAACATCTTCCCTAAAGCGCCCACTGCCACTCCTAACGCTATTTAGTGTGTAAATCGAGGCTTTTCTTCTTCCCAAGAGGGCCCTTGGATAACGCCTTATTATCTCACTGTATTGCTCTTAAAGAGACTTGAAGTAAAGTATCTAAAAATGAAGGCTTACTGGATAATAAATTATTGTGTACAAAGCAAAATTTGTCTTGCTGATCTTTGCACTGTCTGACTTGTAATTCCTCTTTTTGCTGTGGGTTCCGGTCCAGTGTAGAAAGGATGGTAGGGAAATAAATGAAGGTGGGGGTCCTCCTGATGCCAGGCTCACACCCTTAGGATGTCCTTGTACTCTGCCTGTTTTCACTGCCTTCAAAGTGCCTCTGGGGGTTTGAGTCCTGCTCAAGGGTCACCGTGCATGGTACTTGCCTGTGCTGAACTGGGTTATTTGTGTCCGTTCAAGACAGTGCCCAGATGAGGCTTTCTAAAGACATGATGGGCAACCACAGAAATGTGATGGCAGCTTATGTGAGTGCCTAGCCTCCTCCGTCCCCACTCCCACTTCCCTTTCTCCTTCCAGTCCAGCACCTCGGATTCCTCTACTCCCTAGCCTTCCTCTCCTTTTATTTACGATACCTTTGGACGCTTACCTCTTCTGCATGAGTGAATTTATTACTTTGCTTTTAAACGAATATCCACTGCTCGCTTTCAGTGTTACTGGACTCAAGCTACAATATTGCCCCTGACTGATTTAATGGTATGTGTCTCTAGGTAAGGGGAAGTCATAATGGGAATGTGTCCTTGTTTGCATGCAAATTTATAACCTGCATGCACTTCTAATTCCCTTGGGAAAATAGCTCCGG